GATCTGTCACCACTTTTGGCAGTTCCAGACCTAGGCACGCAAGTACTTGAATTCATGGAGAACATCAAGGCATGTGAGGGCCTGCCAGATCTGACTCCCAAAGCAAAGCCGAAACAGGGAAGGAGAAACCGGCCCAGGTCAGCTCCGTCCGACGCTGAGGCTACTGACGGCCTTGTCAGACTGCTCCGAGAAGCATCCAAGCGCGCCTTGGTACAGCCTTGCAAGCCGGATGAAGCCCTGCAACTCCTTCAGGTCATTTCCCACTCAGAGTGGTACTCGATCTATCTCAACAAAGCCGTCGAACGAGGCCAAGAGGAGCACATGGCTGAGATTTACCGCGAGTTCCGCAAGCTCAGCAAGCATGTCAATTGGCGTATACTGCATGGCATGTTCGACGTTTTTTATCCCCACGACGTAGCAGGTCTCGAGCAGGTCTATGAGGACTTTCATCGCTCGTACGGCAAGCTTGATCAGTGGGGATTCCGCAAGTACCTTAAGTTTTATGCCTCGCGCGGTGATGTTAGGTCTACCAAGAGGCTTTGGTCCGAATACGTGGCCAAAGGACATCACAAAGGCATTATGAAGGATCCCGAGACGTTCAATCATGTCCTGAACGCATACAGCAATCGCGGCATCCCAGAAGATACGCGGCAGGTCTTTGACGACTTGACAGCGAAGTACAACGTGACACCGGATGTTGTCAGCTGGAACATCCTGCTCAAAACCTACGTCAGAGCGGATCGCTACGACGATGCAATCCAAGCATTCGAGGACCTCTCCGAGTCTGTTGCTCCTGATTCGATCAGCTTCGGTACCATCATGGCCATGACCGGTGGCAAGGGCGACCTGGCGAGGACCGAGAGCTTCTTTGAACAGGCTCAAGAGTTGAAAGTGGAGGTAGATGCTGCCATTGTTTACGGCCTGGTCGAGGCGTATTGCCAGAACGATCGCTTTCACGAAGCCAAGTTAGCCTGCATTTCTGCAACGAGGAAAGGAGTTCCAGGAGACAACGCTTACTTCTGGAATTGTCTCATCAAGTATCAATCACATCGGCGGAACTTGGGAGGCGCGTACCGGACAATGGACCTCATGGCTGAGCACGGTGTCAAGTGGAACGCAGCAACGTACGATCTCGCTCTGCAGTCTCTCCTTTATACGAAACAAACCGACCATGCATACCAGCTTCTCCTATCGACACTGGAAGACAAATCGTTCCCTGTCACTGAGCAGCATTTCGCAACAGTAATGTCGAGCGCTTTGCGGACCGGCCAGCCGCGGAAGGTCGAGGCTATCCGCGCTGCTATGGAACAGAAAGGCTATCCCATGTCTATGGAGACGTCGATCGCCACGGTGGACGCCCTGCTGAAGCAGCAGTCGACTGCTCACCGAGGCGAAGAAGGAGACGTCAAGAGGGTGGCTCTCACGCCTGAAAAAGCACACGAGCTCGGTAAGTCTCTTGTTGACTACTTTCAGAGAGTGCTTCAGAGCCAATACAAGGATCCGATCACGGATTCTGGTTCCGATCGCTGGATGATGAGGCAACCTGGCGACAAGAGCTTGATAGGATCCTATGCTCGTGTTGTTCAGCGCGCCATGGTGGTCCTCGCACAGTCCGGAGACTTTGCCTCGGTCCACGAGATCCTCAACCTATATTCAAAGGCAATGCAAGGCGGGCCGAAACATACAGCATCCACTCCACTGCCCCTAGTCGACACGATGATGCTAGCAAATTTCTTGGACAACAAACACGACCTGGTCAAGGACGCGTGGGAAGTCGCGTGGCAGAAAGCGTTGGCGCAAGGCCGACCCAAGACGTACGAAAAACCAGGCATTCTTCCCAGTCATCGGTACGATCTCTGCGGTCCGGTCCATTCGATGCAGCGCGTGTTAGCAGCTGAGAAGGATCATCAAGGGCTCATCGACCTGGTGGAGAAGGTCACCAGCGCGGGTTTCAAACTTGACAGCCGCAACTGGAATTACATATGCCGCGCGCTCGTGGAGATGACCCAGTGGGAGCAGGCATGCGACTACTGCGAGAACATGCTCATGACTGGCTGGCGCGGTTGGGCGCCTCACCGTCGCGGCCACAGCAAACCCAAGACATTGCCTATCGAAGTGCGGCGCAGAGGCAACGCGCCACGGTGGTTACGGCCTGACGGCATCACGCTAAACTTGCTGCGCGACCAGTATGTTGTTCTGAAGTCCGAGGCGCCCTGGTCTAGCACTATCGAGGCCCAGCTCCATCGCGTACAAGAGAAGTGCCCGAGGTTATGGCGGGCTTTTCTGTCCAAGGAAGAGTCGCGAAAAACGGTCGAGAGTGAGTTGCTGTGATGCAACAGCCGAGTTCTCTCCGACATTCCAAGTCGTGTATAAATGGTGTAGGATATACTGTTGTGATATCATGACGAATCGGCATTTAGATATATTTTTGCATACGCACTACTATGCGCATTAGACATTCAATCATCCCCTGAAATCATTTCTACCTCGATCATCTTCTTCTCGAGGCTATACCCCCATTGGTATTCTTCATGATCTGCTGCACCATGCCCACCACTGTTCCAGCCATTCCCTCGTCCATCGCATCATCACTCGCAACCCCGAGTCCGCTCCTCTGCATCACAAACATAGCCGCCGCCGGGGCGTCGAGGCTATATTCCAGATGCGGGCCTATCACGTTCTTCTTGCTGCTCGGAAACTCCCCATCCTGCCCTTCTCCCCCAGCCACCCCGTCGTCATCCCCAGCACCTGTCGTCGTCGCCGGGAGGACTCGTGCGCTGACAAAACTAAATCCCCCTCGTGACAAAAAGGTCTTCACGAACCTAGCATCCACGCCCTCCACCGGCGCCCCGTCCTCTAGATCGCCAAACAACACCACGCTCCTGACGGTACTGTTGCCCCGAGCGAGCGCGCTCCTCACGACCTTGGCCCCGAACGAGTATCCTGCCATGGCAATACCCGTTCCAGGACACCGCGCCGTCGTCGCGGCCGCCAAGGCAGCCATGCGAGCACCGGCGTCGGCACGCGAATGTCTGCTGTACTCTACGCCCTGTATCGCCAGGGACGATGTACCGTTGATGTACGTCTCCAGGGCTTGGAAGAGGGGCGGGCCGACGAGAAAGCCGACGTTTCCTGGAGCGAAAGTTCATCGGCTTGTATCTTACTGTCGGGAGAGGCCGTCTTGCAACGTATCTTGCACGCGAGATTCACTTACCTGGCTCTTGGGCGCCGCGGGCGAAGAGAACTGCCACGTCCGGACAGGCTGCTGTTGCAGACGCGGTATCACTGCCGTCGAGAAAAGGCTCGAGGTCGTTTCTGACGAGCGCGTCGTCTCGGATGGCTGTCTTGAGAGCGCGGACGACGAATAGCGAGGTCGTCACGACATCGTCGATGATGCCCGAGAGATCGTCCAGGACGTCTGTGGATCGATGGATTATTGGTATTGGCAGCGCAACAGCCGATACGAGCAGTAGACGGGTGGCGAGAATTGGTAGTAGAATAGACCTCATCATGACTTCCGGAGCCTGTGGTGGTCTGACGAAGACCTTATCGTGATCAGCGGTTGGCCTTCGACGCGTCTCGCGAAATGGCTCTCCTCCCCAAGTCGCAATGCATCGCTCTTACGCGATCCGACCAAAGAGAATCCAGCTATCTGGAGACGAGAGTATTCAATATTCATCAGCCAAAGGTGGACAGTGAGGTCGGAGCGAGTGGCGATCGCGTTCAGGGGTGCCGTCTCGCGAGATCGTCTGATGTTCTCTGGCGGATGGACCCTCCACCCGCAAGATCTGCCTCTGTACTCTTTGAACTGGGTCTCAGCGGCATCTCAGGGTATCAGCATGCTGATTAAGTTTGGTAAGATTCTACTGTCACATACTACCGAGGGAGGAAGCAAGCGACAGCGATGAGCCCCTCGGTCGCGCCGACTACGTTCCGAGCTCTGAAGTAGTGGCAAGCATGGACGTCGGTGAGTGTGGCATGCTCGGCGGCATCCCGCTGGTCAAGGGGGCTTGCCAACCCCAGAAAAAGTTCATCTGCGCGGGTCCCGCAGCTTTCTGGTTCAGACGGGGGCGGGCCTGGAAAATGTGCGGCAGTCTGTCGACTACGTCCCCGCGGGAGGCTCAAGCTCACTACGGCACTCAAGGGTCAGCAGGTCAGTGCTAGGGGAATCAAATGGGATCATCATCGTCAACGAACATCTCAGCATCAACGGTACTGACATTTTTAACGACGAGAACAGTAGTGCCACGAGGAAAGCCGTCCAGTCTGCATCGTCAACGTCCACTAGTAGGCAAGAGGGGAGATGAGAAATTTCGAAGATTTAATCAAACGGGCAGGTCTACGCATGGTCAGGATGGAGCTGCAAAAGAGTTTCATTTCAGTCTTCGATATGAGGCTGTTCCCCGTCAAAATGTATGACTTGGAGCCAGTCAATGATCAGTAATGAACTTGCGTCACGCTGAACTCTGAAAAATGAGATCATGTTACTGTGGAAGCTGCGAATGTTGTGCGAGTTGAATGGAATTCGGACGAATTCAAGGTAGGGCTGAATACAAGCTTTCTTGCTCAGACATATTTTGTCACCTGCGAGTCTCACATCCAGAATAAGAATCACCAACTAAGAGCCCTTATATCCCCGTGAGCCAGGCAGACACAGTTCCAACATGATGCACTTGAAAAGCGATCGCTGAAGGAGTCGGCCTTGTTGCCAATTAAGAGACGGTATCACCCTTCCACTCCCAAGGTTGTCCTACGTCTCGGAGCCCCATCACGTTAAGAGAGCTTGTTATAGTTTTGCTAGTATGGATATTTTCACCGGCGGGCCGCCGTCCACCTCCGAACCGCTTTCCAATCCCTGAATGCGATGACCGAGCTAGTTCTCGGTACTTCGTCGTCTAATTACAAGATGAAGTGTCACTCAACTCCTCCCAGATGCTTTTACAAAAAAAAAACCCCTTAGAAAACTCCAGAATCCAATGATGGAAGTAAACGCGGTAGATTCAGTCCACGTCGTCAGGCGGGGGACTACCCTGTCCCTGAACGCCGAGTGAACGCAATCGCTGCGAAAGGAGACCTTCGGTCCCAGAAGGGCTTCCCCGGCCAAGCCCAGCGAAGGCATTGCCTCCGTACCCGACATCGCCTTTGTTGAGCTTCTCGTACCGTGCAATCTGCGCATCCAGGCCGTCCTTGGTCGTCGGCCGACTGGTCTGCGATGAACCCGGGGATCGCAGACCAGTCAGGCCTGTCGTGTCGGTGCTGTCGCTGACATCGCTGCCCAGACGATTTCTCGACGGGAACCTGAGCGGTATGGGATCCACGGGCTGTGTGTTGCCCCCAAAACTGAACGGCGATGGCGACGAGTGCTGCGCCGGGGCCCGACTGTGCATGACCCCATCCATGGCGTCGAAGGCCTGCACGGAGGGGCCAAATGAGAAGCCCGAGCTCCGTCGCCGGAAAGCTTTCTCTGCTGCGAGCATGGCTCCAGGACCGGTACTCGAGAGGGGCGGGTTCATGACCCGAATCGGCTTGTACGTGGAGAATTTGGGCTCAGGCCAGGTTGTCTCGTTGCGCAACTTTTCTTTGCCGTCGGGGACTCTGTTGGCGAACACAATGCGTATGCTTTTGTAGAGGTAATATCTGCCCTTTGACGGACAGCAGAAGTGCAGATGAACAAGGTAGCGTAATATGGATCTGTTGTGCACGGGATCATCGGGTGCGTTCTCAATGATCGGGCCGGCCGAGTAGCTTCGCTGCCTGATGAAGGTCTTGGTGCCGGGTTCCATACCGGCCAGATCGTAAGGCACCAGGAAAAGCTTGACCGCCGTCTTGTTCGGATTTTTGATGACAATCTGGATCTGTCCCTTCTCCGGGACTCGATAGCTACCGCCCGGCGGAGCTCGAGGCGACCCTGACCGTCTCCGTGCGCGGCTGGCTTTGTGCGACTCTCGATCCAAGGCTCCGGTGGATATGGTCGGCGATCCAATTTCTTGACCAGTCGCCTGGCGGTCTGTATACCGGCTGTGCATCTTCTTTTTTGTCCGATCTTCGCCGCCGTGGCTTGGCAAGCCATTTTCGAGATCGATCTGACCGACATACGGACTCGGTCCATCCTCCATCGGCGAGCGGCCAGTCCCAGCACTGCTTCCGTAACTGTAAAATACGGCGGGAAATGGCAGCGTCACATGAGACGGACATTTCAGGCTGGGCTTACACTTTCCCAGGCCCAGAACACCAATCTGGGCAAGAAAATCAAGTGGCTTGGACGGATTGGTGGACATGCGGCCGCGAAGAATACTCTCCTCGTACGATCCGACCATGGAAGCATGCTGCAAGGGGGAGGCATCGCTAAAGGATGGTCTCCTCGACCGGAGAAACGCGGGGGTCTGAGGAGAGGGCGATGGACCCAGGCATGGCGTGTTGGGGGTCGAGGTGAGAGAACGACGTGGCTGGTGCGCCTGATAGGGCAACGAAGACTCTCTCCTGTGCGAGAGGGATCCTCCCAAGTGTGCCGACCTCGGCGGCAGAGCAAAGGGTGAGGGACTCGACGTCAGTGTGTGTCGTCGGAGGCTGGCTGGCGTGGAAGCAGAGCTCATGCTCCGGATCGGCTGCACCAGGTCAAACTCGTCGTTGCTTTCGGATTGTACTAGAGGACTCGTGGGCGGTCTGTATGCAAAGTTGGAGGAGAAGGACGACGACAATGACGACGGTATGGATTGGTAGTCGTCATTGCGCGGAACCGACAATCCCTGGGTGAGATCGAACGGCAAGTACCCACGAGGCGGAGATGTTGCTATCCAAGAGTGAGCAGGAGGCTGTAATGGGGCTGGTCCGGGCCGGTCTTCGTCGTCTCGAAGAGGGTGGGCGTGGGCGTGGGCGTGGATCTGGGTGAAGTCACCGCTATGGAGGGCAGACCTCGGCCTCTGTATGTTCAACCCGTCTCTCAGCCTGGCTTCCTCATCCACGACTATGACGTCCTTCAGTTTCTCGGGGGTGATATCGGCAGGTGGGAGGAGGGAGGACGTATCGGCTGGTGGGCGTGGGCTCCGGGATTGGCGAGGTGGTGGTGGTCCGTCATATAACGACTCGAGCTGGTCGAATGTAAGTGATTGTCATTTGACTAGAGAGGCCCCCCCCTAGAGGAGCTTACACGACGAGCAGGGATCCAGGTAGGAGACTCTCCCCTCTTCAATCTCTCAATTAACTCTGCGCGGTTCGAGGTGCTCGCTTCAAGGTCTGCATCTGCAGTCGCTGGTCGGGGACTGTCGGGAACGGGACCCTCGCACAGCTCGGTGAAGAATGCTTTCCTCCGACAGCTTTCTCAAGAGCGCTGGCTGCTCCAGATTGGGATGGAGGAAGGAGGTCGCTGGCCGAGACTGACCAGCCTGATCAGCCGTGGCAGGGCTCGGCTCGGCGGCAGCATCGCGAGCTTGGCCCTCCAGCAGCAGCTCGAGGTCGGCCTGGAAGATGGGCATGGGGAAGACGTAGACGGTACAATCGAGTGCTATACCGAGCCACAGCACTGCTGCGGCTCAAAAGGCAGGATTTTCTTCGCGGCGGGAGGCCTTGGAGGGGGTCTTCCGTCATGCCTTGTCATGAGATGCAATGTGTTGTTTGTTGGTTTGAGGTGGTGTGGTTGTTAGTCATTCGACAGGCCGAAAGGCAAATAGAGAGCTGTGACAGAAGAGCCGAGATGGGGGACCAAGGGACGTCATCAGTGGGCACTGTACCAAGGCGTTATGCTTCGTTTGGATCCAGCGGCTGGAAGGGCGGAGATCCTTGTACTGGCTGGCAACTCAGCCCAACGTAGAGGAATCGAATAGTCTACGCAGCAGTAGTGTTGAGTCGAAGCAGAGTCACGAAAGGAAGGAGTGCCAGAACCATGAACCACAGAGGGCAGACCGCTCGCCTTCCTTTGATAAGGAGCATACGGCGGTCAGAAGGGTCCTTGGTGTGGAGGAAACGGCATGCAAAAAGATGCATCGGCCAACTGCGATATCGTCATGTTCCGGGCCCAACTTCTCCATCAGCTGCATGATCAGGGCCCTCTTTGGGGTTAGCGACGAGGCGCGGCCTATCAGCCGGGGGGGCTGAACACGCTAAGGATGCCCCTAAACCAGACCCGCTGCATCACCTGGCCCAGGCTTGCAGGGCCCCTGGGGCCGGACCCATTTCAGCGCATTACCCACTGGACGTCTAGGGTCTGGGGTGCTCTGCTACTGCCGCAAGTGCTGGCATCAAGGTGGCAGGCTAGCCGGCAGGCTGGCCGTGTCTCTTTCAAATCCAGAGGTGTCTTATCGGACTCTCTTATCGGCAGAGAGACCCCACTTTCTCATCCCAACGTCAAAAAAATCCTCCTCAGATGAGAAGCATCGCTTCCAAGGTGACATCCTCACGACACGGCTTGGCCTCCTACTTTGCGGGTCAACCAGCTCACAGACACAATCGAGGAACTGGTGCGAGGCATCAGAATTCAATTTGGTCCAAAACGTCACGGATAAATCAGCTCGCAGGCCACCACCCAGAGCCCCGACTCTCCACTTCGCCCCTCCCTCACTCACTTTACATCAATCATCATCATCATCACCACCACCAGGACGGCACATCATGGCGCCTCAAAAACGCACGCGCGACGACACAGAGGACGGCGCCTCCTCCGCCCCCCAGAAGAAGCACCGCAAGGGCTTCAAGGTTGGCCCCGACAACCTCCCTGACGGCCCGTGGAAGCGCCAACGTACGTCCCCATGCTATCTCCCCCCTCCCCCATCTCACCTCTCATGCCGACCCGCAAACCCGCTTCACCGCTGACACAGACTGCTGTTAGTCACCAAGAAGAAAGAGCGCCTGATCGCCAACGCCAAGGTCAAGAAGGGCTACGCCAAAATCAAGAAGCGA